CACATGTGAGGTAAAGGACCTGACCCCTCTGCTCAAGGACACTGTAATGTTTTGCCTTTGCTTCAGTCAGCTATGAAAGCGATTAGGCTTGTTCTAGCAAATACAGAGCTGCATAACAGTATAGTGAATTTTGCCAAGCCACATGAAAGTGTAAGGTGAATGACTATTAACTGTGTTATGAGATTAAAGCAGGTAATTTTTGATTGATAGAATTGATGGTTCAGAAGAGTAATTTCCTACCAACAAAAATCAAGATTTCTCTAAAACAGGTTTCAAGCCAACAAACTGGCACTTTCCCCGCTTTCCATCATGCTACCAACACCTAGCGTGAGCTACATGCACACTCCCATACTTGGGCTCATAAGCAGCAGTTATGATAAATACCAGTTTCAGCATACCATATGGAGACGAAGACTTGAAAAGTATTCTTCATGAGATCATGCCCCCAGAGAAAAACTAAATCTAAACAGATTTCAATAAACTAGGTTGGGAATGAAGTGGTTGCCAGCCTGGTAAAAATCCAATGAGGAGCTTGAAAAGTCTTCTTGCTACCAAGGTAGTTACACTGTTCTTTGTTCCTGTTCATTTGTTTGTTCCATTATTAAAATGGAGTAAAGGGGCTAAGCAATGTGTAATATTTGATTTGAAAGCTGCTCCACTGTGGGAGGAAACAAATGTATAATTGGTTCCGAAAGCCAACTCTAACTGTTGTAAGGTGCTCAATGTTCTTGGCTTGCACTAACAATACAGATTAAGACATTGTTTCTCATGTGGCCATCTCATTAAGAACCAGAGCACATCAGGTCTCCGCGCTACATGTACCAGAACATGTTTTGGTCAGGTAGAAAATGGAATAATTTCAAAGTTGATATATCTACAAGTGAAAAGTCTTGCAGGGAAGTTTCACCCGGCCTGTTGACGTAGAGGTCCAGGTTTTCAAAAGCCGCCTCTCCAGACAATTTCTGTAGTGGTCCATGTAAACAAAACACAGATAAGAATGGTCCTTCCGGAGCTGTGTTCATCGAACAGCAGGATTACCTGAAAGAGTGGTGTTGGCTAAATGTAACACCGGCAGAGGGTGAGCCTCTGTGTTAAACACCCAGTGGTCTAAAGGTAGAAGGTCATCGCCAGAGAACAGCAGGTACAAGTATCTGAAAACAAAAGGAAGAGAAGCAAGAGTCAGTCAGAACCGAGCAAGAAGTCAAGTTGGTTCACTGGTGACAGCTGAGAAAATCAGTAATGGATTTTCAGCAGTTCTGATAAAGACACAACTAGACTTGCTGAAGTAAGTTTCTTAAAAAATTTCACATACTTGTTCAAAGTCTGTGAAACAATGAAGCTATATATAAGAACAAGAAAAGACAAATCACTTCATAATTTTCAGACTTTCTTTTAAGAAGCATACACATTTAAATTTTGGCAACTCAAGAGAATCGTAAGAGAACAAGAGATTCACATTTATTAGCAAATACTGAGAAAAAAACTGTCAAGTAGTTCTAACTTCACAGTTCTTGGTATGAGAAACCAGTTCTAGATATGGGAAACTATTAAATAAAATTTAAAAGCATTGTGTATTTGTAAAGAGTTTGAAACTAAATAGTAGCCAAAGGTCTCTTTGTGAGCTCCAAGCCACCTCCAGGAACCAATAACCACAATGATTCTTCCTTTAATATGTTCAGGAAAATTCTAATCTGAATCCTACTATGGGTCATTAAAGTGGACATAAAAATCTATATAGTCAAGGGCTAGAGGTATATTTCAGTTATACAGTACCTGCCAAGCTAGTATAAGCAATGCCTTGGGTTCCATTCCAGCACCGCGCGCGCGCGCGCGCGCACACACACACACACACACACCAGGAAAACCCAGGATCTACACTTCTTGATGTAGAACCACTTTACAAAGCCCCAGTGAAGAATTTTAAGAGAAATACATTGCTATCTCTTTTGGTTACTGTTACAGTTCTAGGTGAGAGCAAAAAGATAGTGCAGGCAAAAGGGATGACATTGCCTTTAGCACTAAGAAAGCTGGAATATTGAGTAACAAGACTTTCTATCTCACTCTTGGTCCTATGCTCAAGACCTGCTTGATTGATTTAATCAACAGGCTGCTAACAGGAAAGTCGCAATGTATTTGGGTGGATCCAGCAGGGGACTCTGCACAGTCTGTTTTCCATATGGAGACTGCAGTCCCAGTCGGTGGCTCCTATGTCCTTAAGTGCGGTATTCCTGCTTCTCTGTTAAATGCAGGCTGAAGAACACAAGGAGCATCCTAAGCCCATCACACCCACCACCAATATCTTTAAAGTAAAAAGAAAGAGAGAATTGGACTACACATGCGGGGAAGGTGGCCATGTGAAGATGGAACAAAGGTAAAGCATTGTTTTGTGTGCTTAGTCATCTTGACATCTTCTTTGCTAAGATACCAGTTTAAAAATTTTACCCAGTTTTAACTGGACTGCCTGTTCTCTTGCTAAGCTTCCAGAATTTCTCATATGATGCAGACAGCAGTCTATTATCAGACAATTGCTTTGCAAAGATTATTATCCTAGGTGCAGCTTTTCTTTTCTTTTCTTCCTTCCTCCTTCCTCCCTCCTCCTCCTCCTCCTCCTTCTCCTTCTTCTCCTCCTTCTCCTAGTTCAAGATCTGCCTGCCTCTGCCTCCTGAGTGCTGGGACTAAAGGCATACACCACTAACACCCAGCTTTCTTTATTTTCCAAGAGTAAATGCTTTTAATTTTGAGAGTAATGTTTTAGTGGATTTTGCTTTTGCTGTCATGTCTAAGGAATTTTTACCTAACTTCAGGTTACAAAAACTTTTCCCCAATGTTTTCTTTTCAAGTCGTATTTTTAGGCTTTAAATCTATGTCATGACCCATTATAAAGTCATTTATGTATATGAATTCAGAAATTCAAATGTTTCAGCACAATCTATAGTCAATACCACCCTTTTATCCATGACTCTGCCTTTGTCTCCATCTATGTACAGCCCCTTCCATGAGCCCCTTCCATTCTCTATTTTGTACATCAATGAATTTCTGAGTTCACTGATATACACCATTTTGAACACTGCATCTTTGTAATGTCTTCAAGCTAGACTTCAAACTTCCTTTTCAAATTTGTTTTTGTTATTCTAGGTCCTTTATATTCAGAAATAGCCTGTCAATTTCTACTGTAAAAACAAAAACAAAAAAACCAAAAAAGCAACCAAACAAACAAACAAAAAATTGGAGTAGAGTTTCATTCATATAATTGACACACTAAGTTTGGGGAAAATCAATATAAAGTTTTCAGAATCTTCAACATTTATTTCGGTCTTCCTTCAGCAATGACTTTAATTTACAGTGTGTAGTTCTTTAATATTTTATCAAGTTTTGCCTATTAATATTCTTTTAAAAAACTTTAATTTTTTTTTTTTTTGTGAATTTCACATCAAGTACCTCAATCCCACTTATCTCCCCCTCCCCCACCCTCCATCCTTGCAACCTCCTCCCAACAGAAAGAGAAAAAAATCTCATGGAAGCTGTGGTGTGACCCACAGTACACCCTTTTGTCCACACTTCTTTGCTTGCAAATGTTCACTGCAAGGATTTGTTGGTCTGGTACGGGGGCTCTGGCTTCTGCTACTCTATCAATACTGGAACCTCACTGGGAATCCTCTTAGATGTCCTGTTGTTGCCCTGTGTCATGAAGATCCTGTAGTTTTAGATCTATAGTATAAGCCCCTTCATGCACTCCAGTAGTTCATCAATGGGGTAGATTTTGGGATGGGGCATTTTAAATCCTTGATCTGGGCCTGAGAGGTATCTGAGCTGGTCAAATACTGGCTCTCATAACACACCCTTGGGCCAGTTCAACAGCAACCCCAGCAACCAGAGCCAGCTCTACCCTGCTTCCCAATCGAGGTGCAGGGCCCACACTCCTGAGTACTGCAGCCAGTGAGGGACTGGGCAAGTTCTCTCACTCTCATAAACTCGGGGACAGACTTCTTGCCACTGCTGAAGGTGGCAAGAAGTAGGGAGCATCTCTTTCCCTCCCATGTTACAGCTTGGCAGACAAGTGGTGGAACCAACTACCCACACTCAAGCCCTTGGGGCTGACTCAACCATGCTCCCACCACCAGAGTCAGCTCTACTGTGCTGTCCAGGTGAGGAGCAGGGCCCTCTCTCCCCAGTGCTACAGCTGGTGAGGGGCAGGACAGTTCTCTCTCATGACCCCAGGGCCAGGTCTTCTGCCTGGCATAGGTGAGAGGGAAAGGAGGGTATCTTTCCTCTGTCTATACCACCACATGGGACATGAGTGGTAGGGCCAATTGTCCTAAGCTCATATCCTCAAAACCAGCTCACCCGCAACTCCTCCCCAGCTCCCAAAATGTGTGAGGCCTACTCTCCTGAGTACTGCAGCTGACCAGGGGCAGGGTCAGCTCTCCTGTAGCCAGGGCCAGCTCTCTTATGATGCCCAGGTGAAGGGTGGGGGCCAGTTCTGCATAGCAATCAGACATCAACATGTCCCTAGGAGAGGCAGACCAGAGCAGTGACATCTGCCTGGCCTTTGGTGATAACAGATCCCTTTGCTACAGGGCCATGGACCCCAGATGTGGTCCCCAGTAGCAGGACCAGGACCCTACCATGGTCCTAGGTTGCATCACCAGCTACTCACATCAGGCTGTTCCTCAGTTCCCTGGAGTCTACAGTTCTTCCTCTCTTCATTGTGCCCACATCCTTCTGTTTCTCTTTCACTTCTCCACCACTTACTTGCTCCTCTTGGTAGCGCCCAGGGTCTCTGAATGTCTCAAGTGGCCCGTTGTGACAGTCATTTTTTGCCATCTTACTCCCACCTAGAAGCTGCCTAGGTTCTTCCAATCTCCAGCTTGGTCCCCATCCTGGGAACCTATCTGGGTCTGACTGGAGGTGGGGGTAGGGGAGCGGTGTCTCAGGCTAGCTCCCTTTCCAGGGCCCTTGGAACCAGACTGGTGGTTGTCTCAGGCTTGCTTTTTTCACTGAGTATTAGTCTACTAATCATTCATATTTTCATAGGTCACAACACTGAGCTTAGACATAGGCTCTCTCCTCTCTGGCACTACTGACGTACATGTGACATAGCAGCCACACCTGTAATGCCTCTAGGGGCAGGTCCCATTAATATTCTATATCCTTATGCTATTTGTATGTGGTAGTCTTAATTTTCAACTTCTTTTAAAAATATTAATTTTTATTTTATGTGCACTGGTGTTTTGCCTACATATATGTCTGTGTGACAGTGTTTGATCTTTTGGAACTGGAGTTATAGACAGCTGTGAGCCACCAAGTGGGTGCTGGGAACTGAACCCTAGTACTCTTAAAGAGCAGCCAGTGCTCTTAACCCCTGGCTCTTAACTATTTCTCCAGGCCCAATTTTCAACTTTTATGGCTCACTGCTAATGTACACAATTAATTTTAGTTAACAACCTTACTAAAGTTATTCATTAATTTTAGTAATTTTTTGGTAAGGTCTATAGAATTTTCTATATGGATTATTACATTCTCTCTTTAAAACAGTCTCATTCTGTATCTGCAACCTTACTAAAGTTATTCATTAATTTTAGTAATTTTTTGGTAAAGTCTATAGAATTTTCTATATGGATTATTACATTCTCTCTTTAAAACAGACTCATTTCTTCCTTTCTAGTCTGGATGTCTTTTTGCTTCTTTTTCTTGTGTGAAATCACTGGCTAGAACCTCCAGTACAATGCTAAACAGAAATGAAGAGAGCAGATGTTTTTGTCTTGTTATTGATCTTAGGGTGAACGAAATAGCTTTTTAAATACGATGTTAACTGTTTTTTTTTTTTTTTGTTTTTTTTTCCCATATGTGCTTTTTATCAGGCTGAGGAAGTTTTCTTCTACTCCAGGTACTTTCTCAAGGTGGAGCCTTCATTTTACATAATGATTCTATTGTATGCTACCTGTTAACATCTTACATACCAGTTAGCATTATTTCAGTCTCTTTCTTCACCACCATAGCACTTAAATTTAAAACCATTTCAAATTATATTCAACAGTCGTATACAATTTGATAACTGATTGATAATAGCATGTTATATAAAATTAGTTTATGGGTAAAATTCTAAATTAGAAAAAAGTTAAGTGCAAACTATTACTGTAATCAAGTGGTGAACAATCATTTTTTTTTCCTTTATTCATTTCAAAATCAGCTAAAAGACCATCAGGAGTAAAGGGACAAACAAAACATGCATACCCCAACAGAATTCCAAATAGCACCACCAGAAAAGGATGAATTGTTGATAACTGTAACATGGACCACTACGATAAAATGCCAAACACAAAATACCCCAAAATCATATGATTCAAACTAATTCATTTCTAAAACAGGCAATGTACAGTGCCAGAAAGCAGAGCAGTTTGGGTATGGACATAAATGGCTGTAAATAAATAAATAAACAAACAAATAAAAAAGTGGAAATTTATTCTCTACACTCTGGGTTTGAAGAAATGCACTGTCAGGTGATTCCTTTAGTATGTGAACATTACAGAGTGCTGATGTGAACTAAGATGGCAAAAATGATAAACTAAGATGCTTAGGAGATGATAGAATTCTGTGGGATCCCTGTGGAATATGTGGTCCATCACTGGCCAAAACATCTTTACACTGCACATTACTACATAAACCAGGGTAGTTATCTAGTCTAAAGAATCTGATAAACCATGAGTGAACCACTCAAAACACTTCAATTTAGACTGACAAAAACAGAAAGGCAAAAATTTCATCATTGCTACTTAGCACAATTTGTATTATAGCTCCCTCTACTGTAGCAAAGAGACTAGCAAGGTATTTTGAAGTACATAATTTTGAAAGTGAAGAAATAGTTATCATTGTTTAAAATTAAAAATCACTGTGCATATCAGTATCTAACTTGGATTGCACTGTGAGAGGTGCTGGAAGGGTTAAAGACTGAAAACCATGGTTCCAGCACTCCAGGGACTCGAAGCACATGATATATATGGATATAGCAGTTAGCACCGGACACCATGGTATGGCAGCTACTCTGTCAGCAGTTAGTTTCTTGTTTCTTAATTGTTTCCATAAAATGTTTTACAGAGCATGGGTGTCAGTGGTTCTCAAAGTGATCCCTGCAGACCAGCAGCAGTGAGAACTGCCTGTGACCTTGCTAGCAGTACATATTCCAGACCTATTAGGAAGAATCCCTGGTGATGAATCCTTTGAGACAATTTTGATGCCTGCTACAGCTTGAGAACCACTTTTGTAGGTTTCCTACTCGTGTAACTTCTAAGCAGAGTAAAAATATTTTAATGTTTCTTTTTCAGCTCTTCTGAACCTACAACTCCACTGACAACAGCTCCCAGCTCCCATTCCTCTACTTTTTGCATCTGACCCTGGGTTCTCATTTTCTTAGTTCTTCCACTAATGATTGGTCACTGCTAGCACTGAATGATTTTGAATCCAGACCTAAGCCACACTCAGGGAAGGATACGGGCTACTGTCTTCGTAATCCCACTCTTGTTTTACCAGACCTTATAAAAATAACCACTGTTGTTGTCACCTGTCCCCACGGGAGTAAAAAAATTCAAGTCTTCATCTTGTATATATTCAAATATTAAACTTGTAGAAAGAAAAAAAAGATAAACAAAATATTAAAAAAAAACCCTTATCCATTCTAGAGAATTTGTCTACTTTGGTAATGTTTTTAAAATTATGTTATGCTGGGCAGTGGTGATACTCGGGAGGCAGAGGCAGGCAAATTTCTGAGTTGGAGGTCAGCCTGGGCTACACAGAGAAACCCTGTCTTGAAAAAAAAAAGTTATGTTAGAAGTCACGTACTAGAGAGAAAAAAAGGGGGGTGTGGAACAACTTAAAATTGGATACAGAATAACAGAAAATGTCTTTAGAGTATAATTGGAAATAATAAAACCACACAACTAAAATTTATGTAAGTGATCAGAGATGCAAACATTCAACTCCCACCTCACACAACAGAGCAAAGGCTTAACAGACTCAACACTCATTTACTGAGTGGCATGTGGTAGGGTGTTAAAAGAGACCCTTTAGTTACAAAACTTAATTCTGCTGGTAGAAGCAGATAACACACACACCTCTATTAGGAAGCAACACCACAATGAAGACAAAGCAGGGGTAGAAAGCAAATTATGAGTACAGAGGATACAAATGTCATGTCTTCACAAGCAGGGTATGAAAACATTAAGTCCAAGTTAGGGAGAATGGAGAGGATGTTCTGGATGTAAATTACTATAAGATTATTCTCCATGGTACTTACTGACACACATTGACATATGGAAACAACAGCCAATATAGACCAGGCACTTAATAAGCACTTGTTTGAGGAACTGTTTCATATTTTATATTACATCTTTTCTATTCTTTGATGATTTAGATTTAAGAACAAACCTAGAGTGCAAATCTAATTCAAGAGTATCGAAGCGGCAGCAATGGCCCCCAGCAGGGAGTAACCGTTTAAAGGGCAGAGACTTTAAAGGAGATACTATCTAGCTTTTGCTAGAGAGCTGCTTCCAACAGTGTGGGCTCCTTGGTTCTTTCAGCTTGTGAGGCTTTTTATCAGCTGCCATTTTACTAAAACCCACAGGCAATTCCTAGAGATTAAAAAAAAAAAAACCTCTACCCAAGAAGCTGTGGCTTTCTTGCAATTAGAAGAACCCAGCAGGGTGATAGATTTATGTCATATTTATGTGTGAGCACTCTACTTGAAGAATCTCTCAAGCGTGCACACGCGCACACACACGTACGTATGCTACAGATCTTACAATATGACAAACATTCCTAAGCCAACACTGCTGGTTAACACTTACATGCAAGGCTCTGAAAGGCTGGTATTTACTAGGGCTTTGCCACTGGTTAGTAGGTGAGGAATGGTTATTTTGTCCTTATAAGGAATCTCATGTGTCAATATCCAGTCCTGTTCTTTCTTGTGAGCTAATCAACTTGCCCAAAAGGAAGACTTTCAGCCCTCTGTCTACTTTTAGCAGTGCTTGCTACTCCAAGTCCACAGCCTCTATGGCTGAAGCTCCTCTTGTAAGAAACCTCCTTTCATTTAGGATAGAGATGAGGCAGGACAGAAATAAAAGTCAGAGTCTAATACGTCCCACACCCCAACTCTCAGACTCCAGTTTTTAAAGGTGCCCAGCATTTTACAGTTTAGCGGCTTGTTTAAATTAACTCCCCCTGACACAGGTACTTCGCTTTCTCTGCTTGTTCTACCGTTTAAACTACCTGCTGACAGAAGTGTTTTTGCCCTCTACTATCTGACCAGTGCTCTACAGTCATCTTAATGGCTTCCACAAAACTATAAATAAATAAATTGTATTCAGTCTGCAAACTGAACATTGTTGTTAGGTAGAGGCAACTCCAAGGGATTACAAAGATGCCTTCTTTACTACTTCGTACTCAGTCTTTGAAAACTTATCCTTTGAACTGCCCCTTCAAAATATTTATTAAAATTACTTTTTTTCTGAAAATGTATTTCTTCTTAAACTCCTATCACAATCCCCATAATTACTCACTTTGGAAACATTTACACTATCTTTTATTTTCCCTTCCTACCGAATCTCCCTGCACTGAATCACTCAATGCCAGAGCTCGCAGCCCCAGTGTGATATTTTACCGTCAGTTTTGTGGCTGTTCTTCCACGTACTAATTCATCCTATTGCAGCATCAACTCTGGTTCAAATACTACCACCGCCATTATGTCTCCTTCATCTTTTCTAAATAAAGCAATTATTATTATTATTATTATTTTGCTAAAAGACTAGAATTTTGTTAATGGCTCTTTTATAAACTTAATATATTTGTGATTTGTTAACATATTGCATGTGTTTTACTTCAGAGTACAAGAATTTTAAGAAGTGTTAAAGGATCTACTTCTGACTTTCCTCATCATATAGTATTTTGTTAAACCATCAACACACATAATAATGTACGAACTACAAAAGAAAACAAAGCCAAAACTAAAAACAGTACAGAGTCCTTTGAATTAAAAAAAAAAAAAAAGAAAAGAAAAAAGAAAAAAAAGAAAGCCATAGCAAGAGCTAATTCACAGGCTAGTTCCCATGGAAAACTATAACAAGGTAAAATAGCCCTAAA